GATGTTTCTAGAAAGAGGACTGGTGGGATAATCTTGCACACACCTTTACTCATCACTGGAAACCCTTCTAGAAGCAGGTAATTGGTGGTGGCATTTTATGTATACAAAGAGAAAGACCACATATACCTTTTCTTCACATTCAAATTTATCTTAAAAAGTAGATGCTTTTTGTCTGATGAAAACATAATGCCCTGAGCTAGCATTGTATTTCTGTAAATATCATGAAACTCTTAACTAAAAATGTATCAGGCTATTACCTTGCTCAGCTATGGTATGGGCTGAGATTTGAGGTATGGCCAGGTCATGCTTTCTTAAGCTTTGGCCCCCTCCCCTCCCTTGGGGAGGTGAATCTCCTCTCTTTCTAATTTACTTTCTGAATAAACTTTATTTTCTAACCTAAAAAAATAAACAATAAAAATGTATCATAAAACATATACCTTGTATTAAATATTCCTTTAAGACAAGATTTTAAAAATATTTCTTAACTTTATTATGGATATTTTCAATATATAAAAAGTATAAAAATAATATAATAGGCTAGGCATCATGGCTCACACCTGTAATCTCAGCACTTTGGGAGGCCAAGGTAGAAGGATTGCTTGAGCCCAGGAGTTCAAGACTAGCCTGGGCAAAATAGTGAGACCTCGTCTCTACAAAAAAAATTAAAAAATTAGCTGGGCATGTGGTACACGTCTCTAGTCCTAGATACTTGGGAAGCTGAAGATTGTTTGAGCCCAGTAGGTTGAGGCTGCTGTGAGCTGTGATCATGCCACTGCACTATAGTCTGGAGACTATAACAGAGTGAGACTCCAACTGAAAAACAATATATATGTAAATCCAAGGTTTTCATTATCCAGCTTCAACAATTGTTGACTCAGGAAATCTTATCTATATTCCCCATTTCTTTCCTCTTCATATTATTTTGAAGAAGTTCCCACATACTATGTTTTACCCATAATTATTTCAGTATGTATCCCTAGTAGATATTTTGGAAAACAATTTTAATAAAGGCTCTATAATATTTTATTCTATGATGTGTTATACTTTATTTGACTAAGAGTCTGCTATTGAATTTTTGAGTTGTTTCTAGTTTTTCTTCTAGAATTTGTTGGTTTGTTTTGTGGAAGTTCTTTTTTTTTTAATCTTCATAACAGCATATTCTCCTTGTTCTACAGGTGAAGTAGAATGTGTGCAAACTAAGCAAGTCAAGAATGAGCACAGGACCCTTAATTTCATTAAACACTGTGTAACTGGTAAAGATTAATGTACATATCTCTTGCTAATTCTTTCCAATTACTTAGTTCATATAAATTCCCAAGCCTGGTTAATTATGCTGAAGTCAGGTAGTAATTTTGAGCAGTGTTCCGACAACAAGGGAATTTTCCTGGTGTAACCTTGCCCTCTCACACAGACTCTCAGCAGATTAGGCCCTCAGCCTGGAGTGCATTCATTTTCTGCTCAGGCCTAATTGCTGCCGACTGGCTGCCACAGGTACCGGGATAGTCTGAGTTTAAAGAGGCAGGGACTTCTGAGAACAAATAGGGAAAGATTAATTGTTTGTTTTGTTCCCTCCCAAGAGAAATGTGGGTGCTTAATCAAGAAAAATAATTTCTTCTGTTGATTTGGCTTATTTGGAGAAAAGATAATTGTGTAAAGGTAGGTGCAAAATGATGCCTTTTATAAGAGGTATAGCCACTAATGTACACAAGAGACAAGGATCTGGGGAAATAAATGTAAGACACTGACGAAATGGATGGGGATGGCTCACATTTCTCATAGTAAGTAATTTGGCTGTTGGGGTTTTATTTGTACCAATAGTACTAGCTAGTATTGTCATTTGTTTTGTCTGGATCTTCGGAAATCTAATCAAGGAGACAATAGTGTAAAAAAAATCAACAACACTTTTCCAAATTGTTCTTAATTGCAAGAGTACAAACTGAGCTAAATGCTGTGATGTTTCCAATTAAAGAACCTGTTTCAAGCAAGCACTATTAAATCTATCTTTCCCAATCTGACAAATAAGCTAACAAAGAGTGGAGCAGATTAATTGAGAGCAATTAGTTCTAGATTTCTTATAATAGGGAATGTGAACCAACATTATTAATGAATCTGGCAATTTATGGCGTGGTAATTGTGTCACTTCTTCCTCTGGCTAATCAAAAAAGAAAATTGATTAAATGTTATCATATTACTTATGATTTTTAGTACCAAAAACCATTTTTTCCCCAAAATCTCCTTATATAAGAAGGACATTTGATATATTCTAAATCAAAGTTGACCCTTAAATTTGGAAAAGAGAAAGAAAATTGAATGAAAAGAGAAATGTGTATCATCCCTCTCATAGGAAAGGATAGACATGCAACTAGACTAGGCATAAGTCTGCAAACTTTTTCTGTAAAAGATCACATGATAAATATTTTAGGATATGTGAGCCATATGGCTCTGTCGCAATTACTTGACTGCTTTTGCAATTACTTGACTGCTGTTGGAGTGTGAAAGCTACCATAGGTGATATGTAAAGAAGGGAAATGGGCTGTGTTGCAATAAAATTTTATTCACAAAGATAGCTGCAGGTCGAATTTGCTCCTTGGGTTGTAGTTGGCCATCGGACTAGAGGCTGGTGGCAGATTGGGTGAATAGGCAACAGCAACAGCTGGAATGCAAGAACATGAGTTGGCATAAGGTAGACTTGGATTCAGAGCCCTGAGCCTCCACCCTCTGTTGTATAAACTTGGATAGTTACTTACCTCTCTGAGCACTAGTCACTTTTTCTATAACAGAGGGATTAAAAGATATATCTCATAAAGTTGTTAATGATGACTAGTGAGCTAAATACATGAAGCAGCAACCAGTTCCTGAAATTGAATAGACATACAATAAAGAGTAGTCACTGTTTTTTCCCTCAGATCTGGGCCATTTTCCCCAAATGCCAGATTATCTCTAGGGCTACTTAGAATAATGCCTAATCTTAATTATTTGCCCATGAAAGTCAAATTAGAAAATGTTCTTTCAGAAACCATCTTACCAATTCAACTAAAACCATAACTGATACAAAATGCTATTATACAAGTCAGAAAATTCAAAGACAATGTGGAATGTTATGACTGTAAAGTTTGATGGAATATTTGATCCATTCACTCACTTATTCATTGATTCAAGAGTAAACATCTTTTAAGAACCTATTCTGGGTCAGACCCTCTGCAGGGTGGCTTTATGTTCATTATCTCCTAGTCCTCACCATTGTCACCTCACTAGCTCACCTCACCTCACTAGCTCAGCAATATCATCTGGTATTTGAAGTCAGTCTGCCTAAATAGAGATCATTTTGTTTAAGACAGCAGGTGTAAGCCTGTCTGTAAAGTATTTTGGTTTTCCCCAGTAGACAACATGTCGAAATTGTTTTGAACTTCTTTCAGACCCTGGTGGTCAATGGAGCCGCCGATCTGAAGAGTGCCTGTGTGGGAATTGGGACCTGAGGGGGCAGCACCTGCAGCCCCCTCACCAGTGGGTCTCCAAGGTAGAGCTTGCACAATGATCCACTGGGGTTCAGGAAGCACCCAGAAAACGTACAAGTCTATTATTTGTATCTGATAGAGATGTTAAGTAAGCTTTATGAATATTAACTGTTTCAGTTGATACTTTCACACATATAAATTTTATACCACCTAGGGTCATGCATGATACAGGCACCCCACCACCAGGAGCATGACTCGTTTGTTTATTGTAGCCTACTGCAATTTAGGGGTCTGATTGGGTGGATCTGTGGGATGTATTATCTGTGTTCAACTAAACTTCTCAAAAGGCACACATGGCTTAACAGGAGTCCTGCCATGAAATCACAGATTGAAGATAAACCAAGAAAGTGCACAATGAGTAAGTTTTGGCTGAGTTTTAAAAAAAAAAAAGAGTGTGCAAGCACACGTGAGCAATAGCACCTATGCCAGTGCTGCTCCAATACCATCTGCAAGTGCTTTGCAGCCCTTTGAACAGTGGGAAAGTACGTGGCTTTGGAAAGAACACAAATTTTGGAAAGAACATTTTGAATGGATGCTGAAAAAGTTGCTATCATTATGGGATTTTTTTTTTTTTTTTTTTGCCAAATTGAATGTGTGTAAAATTCTTTCTGCCTTCCTTAAAACTTGGGAGCAGAATTTTGGGGCCTATTCAGAAATCTTTCATAGGAAGAGTTTCAGTGAGTCTTTGACCTAAAATATTTTTTCATTGCAATAATTTTCCAGTTCTTCTATAAAGAATAATTGTGTAGCATCAAGAAAGGGTATTTCCTGGCCAAATCTCATAAAAAAGTCTGTTATAGGTTAATGGGATCACATAAATGAGTATTATGATTTAGTAAGTGTAGCTGTTGAATCTATTTGTCTTTGTGAGATGTTTTTGACAATGGCAGTCATTAAAACCAAGTATTTATGAAATTACCTGAATTTTCAGTCACTCTGAACACAACAGCAATCATTGTGTTGCAACCTAATAGAGCACATTAAGTCACAGTACTTAACATTTTAAAATATTACTACTTATTTTTAAATAAGAACAGCAAAGTTCTTTTTTTATTAATATTTATTTATTTATTTGCGTTGAATTCTCATTGTGTCGCCCAGGCTGAAGTGCAGTGGCATGCTCACAGTCACTGCAGCCTCGACCTACTGAGCTCCGGCCATCCTTCTGCCTCAGCCTTCCAAGTAACTGGAACTACAGGCATGCACTACCACACCCAGCTTTTTATTTATTTGTTGTTGAGATGAGGTCTCACCAAGTTGCCCAGGCTGGTCTCGAACCCCTGGGCTTAGGCAGTCCTCTCACCTTGGCCTTCCAAAGTGCTGGGATTACAGGCTTGAGCCACCACACCCAGTAGCAAGGTTCTTATTTAAAATTTTATTTATTTATTTTTTGTTGTTGAATTTAATCATCTTTATTAACCTATTACTGTTACATAATATCTAGTCTTCTCAAAGGGCTCTACTTTAGTACATCAGGTTATAGTAAAAAGCCAAGTAAGATGGCTAAACCTCAACCTAGCATTTTAATATCCTCTGGACAAGGAAAGCTAGAAAGTCAATCACTTTATACACATATAGGAGTAGTGTTCCAAAATAACTAGGAAGCTGCTACATTTTTAAGCAGGGAGGAAAAAACTTTCATTTTGGTGTTTGTATTCCAGCAAATTATACTTTCAATTAACAGCAACAATGATATCATTAAAAAAAATGCTCTGCTTTTTAAATTTCTGAACTTCAATACAAATTAAAATAGTAGTTTTGGAGTCTTTTGGGAGGCAAATAGCTAGCAGCTACATTGTTCAGTGTAGCAAAATCTCCTTATCGATAACCAAGTCCAGGTTAGGTATAGCCCTGACCAAAGGGAGGACGGTTACATGCATAGGGGTTAGGGCCACTTGGAGGAGGGATCATGGTACTTCCAGGAAGAGGAGTAAAACCTGGTCTTGGTTGATAGGCCCCAGGCTGGGTTGGAGCCACTCCAGGCTGAGAGGCAGGGGCCCCAGTATAAATAGTAGGCTGAGAAGTTTGGGTGGCATAAGTTTGTGCAGGATAATTGCTCGCCTGGTACTGCTGTGGTGGCTGAGCAGGCAGTTGTTGAGGCTGACCAGAAAAGGCAGGACCTGGTGCCTGGGAAGTTGGTTGTTGGCCGTATCGCTCGAACTGCTGAGGTGGTTTGCATCCAGTCTGCTGACTATAGCTTGCTGAATACTGAATACCATACTGCTGAGGCGACTGGGGCTGAGCCTGTGGCTGCTGTGCTCCATAGCCAGCCTGCTGCTGGTGCTGTTGGTACATCTGACCTTCAATCTGACCTGCTTGTGTCTGAGCTCCTGTATATGGTGGTTGCTGTGGCTGAACTGTTGGATGAGCTGCTGAGGAAGAGGAAGCAATGCTGTCCGGTGTTCCTGAACCGTATTCTGCAGGAGCACTGGGTGGCCCTGAAACCTGATCATCTGTTAAGCCAAATGCTGACATAACATTTTTATTGATTTCATCTTGGTTTTTCAAAGGATCAAAAGCTGACATACTTGCTGCCATAACCTGAGTGGACTGTTTTCCAGAAGAATCAGAAGAAGCAGGCTTTTCTTCCCTACCATCCACAGTATCATTTTCAGGAATATTAGTGGATGGTTCTGGTTCTCCAGGTGTTTCCAAGCTATCTCATAATTGATTCACTTTATTTCGAAGTTCTATCAGTTCTCGACGAAGATATTTCACCTGACTTGATTCCAGGGATCTTGGTTGGCCATTAACAAACAATGTCAGTTTCAGTATTCTACTATATTGTATTGCAAAGGAAAGATCAGAACTATCAAAAATTGTTATAAGATCTCCATCTTCATCTTTATACTTTATTGTGACTTTATCATGACTCAGAATTTTTCCTCTGAAAACTCGTTGCATCATTAGCACTAACTCATCATAAGTAATATCTTCATTATGAATAGGAATTCACCGAATGTCCTCCCCAAGTTGAGCTTTGATGATTAGCTTCCCACTTAGAACCAACTGTCCGCTCATGGTGGACTCCAGGATGGTCTATATATACAACTCTAGAGAAAGATGGCTTGCCCAGGCCGCTGCGGCCGCCTCCGAGCGGGTCTCCGCGGGCTGGGCCGCCGCTGCCGCCGATCTCTGGGCGTCGCAGGGAGGCTGTGGTCATGGGCCGCTTGGTCGCCCTCCGCACCTCGCTCACCTCGCTCACCGGCCCGGGCCGATGGCAGGGACCCGATGAGCCCAGTGAGAACTTGGGCCCAGTACGTGGCAGGTGGGGGAAGAAGAGAGGCGGGTAAAATTTTATTTTAAATATTATTTCACCTGTGTATTATTTTTTGTGTATATTCTATATGGTACATACTTGACACAGTAGTACCTTTATATCAGGTATAATTAATTAAATGTGCATCTGTTAGGGTGAGGGCTCAACGCTTTGACCTTTAAAACGTGTATGACGAAAACTGTTTGGGAAACACTGATCTAAGACTGTTCCATTGAGAATGGAACATGGAATATTCTGCTCTGTTCATGCCTGTGGGTTTTAAGTAAAATAGCATAGTGACAATGTGTTTAGAACCTTTTTTTTTAAAGATACTTTTCCTGGTGTTCTTGTTTATAATTTATTAAATAAGGTGCTCTATTTCTCAAAATCTTCACTTTATTTTTTTAAATTGTTTTGAGTTGGAATCTCACTCTGTTGCCCAGACTGGAGTGCAGTGGCCGCTCCCGGCCACCGCAGCCTCGACCTGCTGGGCTCCAGCCAACCTTCTGCCTCAGCCTTCCCAGTAGCCGGAATTACAGGCATGCGCTACCACACCCAGCTGATTTTTTGATTTATTGTAGAGATGAGATCTCGCTGCCCAGGCGGGTCTCAAACCCGCGGGCTCAGGCAATCCACTCACCTCAGCCTCCCAAAGGCGCAGGATTACAGGCTGAGACACTGAGCCCGACTAAAATCTTCACTTTAAAAGTTCTTTCCTGTTCCAAATGTAGCAGACTCTTGCTTGTGAGGTGTAAGTGGCTGGTTATTTTCAGGCTAGATGAAGGACCTTGCTTCCCCACACCTGAATCCAGAGTGAATTCTAGTTGTAGCAATGGAATTAAGGCCTTAAGAAAGTCTAATAATTTCTACAACATTCCCTGGCTTTGCCTTCTCTACTTTTTCATGTCCCCATTTACAGAATGGGCATTGGTTTTAGGAAGAAAAAAAATATTTTCCACAGAGGATGCCTGCCTCAGTGGGAACTGGAGCTTGTGTTCCATATTCTCTATTCCCCAACCTTTGCCTCTACAGTACGACTTGACAGCATCTCTTGTTCCCAAGTGCCTTTCATGTAGCAAATACACAAATCCACATTTCACTTTTGGTCCCTCAAACACCTGGGCAGGAGGGTGGGGCAACGACCTCAGAGCACTGTGGATATGATGTTGGAACTCTGGTCACCTGTCTCTGTTACTGTTCTAAACCATGCATGATAGGAGACAAACTCTGAATTCCTCATGTCTCACTGCGACCTTCTTTATATTCTGCATACATTACCAGATTCAGCAGCATCACGCCCTGGCTGCTGCTCCTTGGGCTGGCTCATTTCAGTTGTGTTCTTTGTCTCAGTGACACCCCCCCCCCACCCCCGTTTGGAGACTTTTACCACAGTCTTGTCTCTGGTACTATTTTGCAAAAATCCGAGCCCTTCTTAGGTTCTTTTATCAAACTCACTCTCATCACTAAAAATAGGCCCATGACTGTGCCCTGGGCACTATTTATGATTAGACAAAGAAGTACTTTCCTTGTTCGTCACCCCCACTGCTATTATCACTGTGTAGTGCTCTTTGCTTTCCTCTAAGATGGTCGGGGTCATTTCCTCATTAGGTCTGGCTACTCTAACTCATCCTCATAGTTTCTAGGTTGATATTCCTTTTCAGCTTACCTCTGATCATGATAACTATCTACCAAACAAGCTCTCATGGCTCTTTGTCAACTACAAAACTGGCTATTCTTAGGCCAAGTGTTCAGAATCCCAGCCTTATTCCACATGCCTCATATGTGTCAGCCACACCAGCTTACTTTCCCCTTGCCCTGGCCCATGTGTTAATCATACCCTATACCTGGTACCTCCCCTTTTCTCATCTCTACCAAACACCCACAAGGCTCAAGTACAGTACATCCTCTTTCGTGGGACCTTCCTCAATTCTCCAAACTCAGATTCTTAGATCCTAATGCACTTTAGTTGACCATTATCCTGTCACATTTTTACCTTCTGCTATAACTCTTAGGGAATTGATCTTCTCCACACCAGATTGCCAGTCCTACAGGCACCCATCTGGGTTCCTTCCAATGTCTCCTAACATTAGCTCAACCCCTCTTGATTGCTGTCCCAAGACTGCCAGATAGATAGTTTGCTTTTAATTATATTTGGTATTGTCTTAACCCTTTTATTTGCTGGAAGTGAATTTATATTTTTTGTTCCTCTCTGAAAGCTTGGAACATAATCTTAGATTCAAATGAGTCATGTCTACATGATTTCTTTATGCAATATTTCATTGTATTTTTGTTATCTGAGTTGATGGGGTATTTGTGTATTACTTGATATGTGCAACTTAAAATTTGACTACATAAAAAATTTTAAAATTCTATACAGGAAAAAGGTTATCACAAAATTGAATTATAAAACAAATAGACTGAAAAATATGTGTAATACATGTGAACAAGGTCTATGCAAAGATCTTTTACAAATCACTAGGGGAAGACAATCCAATAAGAAAAATGGCAGAATTCATTCATTAAAAATAATTATAAATTTTCAATGAAAAAGAGAAAAGACACCTTATAACTAATTAGAAAATGGTAAATTAAAATGAGATAACTTTTAGATCTTCAAACATTAAAACAGAGGCAGAGGCTAGAGGATTGCTCAAGCCCAGGAGTTCAAGACCAGCCTGGGCAATATAGTGAGACCTTATTTCTACAAAAACAACAACAACAAAGCTGGGCGTGGTGGCACACACATGTAGTCCCATCTGCTCGGGAGGCTGAAGCAGAAGGATCACCTGAACCCAGGAGATCAGGGCTGTGATGAGCCGTGATTGTGCCACTGCATTCCAGCCTGGACAACAGAGTGAAACCTCTAACTGAAAAAAAAAAATTTAAAACATTCCCATATACCTTTGGGGACTGTAAATAGCAGTGTCCTGATGGGAAAGCAATTTGGCAAGTCTCTTTATGAATTTACCTTACGAATATTCTTTCATACTTGAATTAAGCTGTATGTATGAAGTTTTAATTGCAATATGATTATAAAATTGTACAATAGGAGGGAGTTTGGCTAAAAATGTCTTGGAATATCCATAAGGTGGAAATATTTACAAAATCCATTCCGTAGCAGTTCACAAGAATGCTCTAAGTCTATGTATTCTGATAGGAAAGGGTGTTCAAAACATATGGCCTAAAATAGAAAGAAATATGGGAAATTTTTCAGAGACATCTTTAAAAAATAATGCATTGTCTTCTGATCTGTAACAGTCACAGTTTAGAGCTCTTGAAGATTATAATGTAGAAAACCTTGTAATCAGTCAGAGTCATATAAACCAGACAAATAAAAGATCATCTTTTTACCTTTTTTATGATCAGAGTTTTTTAAGGTCCTGTTTAAGAAATCTGTATTATGTATTCTCATAACCACAGCTTTCTTTTGCTATTCTTATTGACAAGACAAATCACATAAGTTAAGTAATCCTGCTATATTATCACTAACCAAAAATCAGAGAATTTTCAGTAAAAGTACAAGGATGAGAGTCACTCTTCCAGATTGATGCTATTTATTTTTCATTGGCATACAAAAGGTTGCTGAGCATCCCCCATCAGGTTCTGCCAGCCCTTTACGCCAGTAATTGCATTGTTCCATGTCTTTATCGAGGAATCCCTTGCCAGTGAGTTTTGGGGAGGAATAAGTGTCAAGGAAGAGAAGCCACAATGAAGTACCCGTGATCAAGCAAAGATTACACTACTCAAGTCCTTCTACAAAAACTTGTCAGTTTGCTGCCCAAATAAATGCCTAGAGTGCGTAAAACACAGAGCACAGTGACCCCAGGAAGAAAAATCAATTGCAATTCATATTTCATATGTCTATAATTGCTTGTGAAAGCAGGGCAGTGGTTTGTTTGCAGGGCAGTTTTTTCTCTCCTGTTGTTTCCTTTCTTTTCTCGTTACTAATGGTCTTGTCTTTCACATGCTCTGATTTACAGTGGAGCAAAATTTGGATTTTTTTTCTTGTCCACATTACCATTCTTATTACTGGTGCCCTGTACTGGATTTGATCAGTGCATTGAACTGTAGACTGGCATAGATCATGCACCAGAGATGGCTGTTTTGCTTTGAGATTCTTGAAGGTTTGGGGTGGGGTATTTTGCTTTGCTTGGAAGTGCAGAAAGGGGGTTGTGAGAGGAATCATCTTTCATTAGGAGAATTATTCATTTATTGGTGTTTTAAACATCAAAAGTGAATTTTTATTTGCAGCTGTGATCTTAAATGTTTTTTCCACAGAACAAGGGGCCTGTAATACTTGCTAATTTTGAAAATCACCCAATCTGTCTATTTTATCAATCCTCTCTTGATCCAAGAACCTCCTCCCCCCACCCCCACACTCTTATATGAAGCTACTTTTGGATTCGTAGCCCTTCTGTGGACTGAGATGTCATAGGGATAGAGAAAATGCTCCTCACTTTATGGATTACTGTTAGGTCAACAAAACTTTGGCAGCATTGATTAACTTGACAGTGAGTACAGCAGTACATTTATCACTTATGGCTGTGCTGGAGAAAATCTAATAAGAGGCAAACAATTCCCTTTAGAGCAGTAACAGGTTCACTGTGGCTAACGGTGCATGCACTGGAAATTTCTGCCTTTAAATTATACCCTTGCTGCTGGTTGGGTCATTGACTCAAAGCTACTACACTTCTGTAGTATGCTGCTGTTGTTAATTTCGTCAGAATTATATGACTTAACTAAATATTAAAATTGTTGTGTACATGTAGCATTTTAAAATTCAAAGTAGGGGAATTAGGTATAGTT